TTGCAGCTTCTCTTCTACCAAATATGGGCAGATCCAAACCTGACGTGTCCTCCCTTGCACGCTGTGTTTTATACCTTTCACACTCACAGTCATCTATTGATCCTTTGCCTACCTGCCTACCTTAGGTGCTTCCTCTTACTTGGAAACTTCTGTGATTAAGGTCAGAAAAGCCAGACCTAGATGAGGACAACTCTTCACTTTTGACCCTTGAATTTATTTATTTTTTTCCTAGCTCTCTCTTGGGCCACAGTGACTTATTCATTAACAAGTATGGTTAGAACATAAACACCACTATCAGCTTGCATCTGTTTATAAAGTTAAGTCTCTATTATTAAGGGACCAATTAACCAGTCTGGAGGTTCCACGGGCCTCCTGCAATGTGCCTTTTGGCCACCTCAGTCCCTGCAGAACATCACTCGGAGAGTGTGGAGATGACCAAGCAAAAACTCTGAAACAAAGATTATTCAGTTGAGCTCCACGTGAAGTTAGTCAAGTCTGGGGGAAACGAAAATTATACATTTCAGTGTGCTTGGGGATTATCTAAGGACAGAAATTCAAATGGTGACAGTGAGCGGAGCTTCCTTTTATACTATATAAATGCTTGTCAATGAGCAATAAAATGTAGGTATTATGAGTGCTAGTAAAAGTTAGGAGTGTTATTTTTCTGGTATTAAAATCGAGTCAACAAATCGTTACCAAATGTTTGCCGTCCTATAAAAGAAAATGTTTGGTCGTCCACCTCTAGACAGGAGCTCAGAGAGAGAAGGCCTCAATTATGTTGACTGCAGGCCAGGATTAGCCTCAGTGACTTAAAGTATTTTGCATTCATCCGACAATAATTGTAACTGACCTTGAATTTTACTGAAGTAGCTACGAATAGATCTAAGCTGTTGGGGAGACACAAAGATTGCTTTAGCATAGCATTTCACTTCTATTTCTTTATACTAGTTTGCGGGATAACCCATCTTAAATAATAAGTTAACATTCCTAAAATGTATGTGTAAACTAGAGATACTTATTTCAGGCATTCAGGCATAGTTTTTTATTAAGATGTTTCAGAATCCTTTAAGACCCAATATGTGCTGGCTCCTAAATTTTTACCTTTACAAGAGTCCATCTATCTTCCCATTCTTAATCACTGTGTAGTTATTGTTGTATAAAGAAATAGTTAAGAATCCTAATTTTAGTTCAATTAAAAAATATTTTAGTGAATACTGTAGTATTGGTTTCTAACACCAAATCTTTTCAACTTGCAGAATCTTGCTATAAGTATTAGATTTCTATATATTCACATATAAGATTAGTGCTTTACTCCAGAAACTGATGGGAGTGCTTTATTCTTTAGAATCCTCTAGAATGAGGGTCAGCAATGGTTTCTGTAAATGATGAAATAGTAAATATTTTAGGCTTCGTGGGACAAGAGGCAAAGTTGAGGATACTATCTACAACTTTTCGTTAATACAGGTCTCCTGATGAGCACAGTGGAATTTATTTAGGGATGCTAAAATATGAATTTCATATACTTTTCATGTGTTATGAAATATTCCTCTTTTACTTTTTTTCAACCCCTTAAAAATGTAGAAACCAGGGCGCCTGGGTGGCTCAGATGGTTAAGCGTCTGCCTTTGGCTCAGGTCATGATCCCAGGGTCCTGGGATCAAGTCCCGCATCGGGCTCCCTGCTCAGCGGGGAGCCTGCTTCTCCCTCTGCCTCTCTCTCTCTCTGTCTCTTATGAATAAATAAAATCTTTAAAAAAAAAATGTAGAAACCATTGTCACCGTCTGGCCATGCAAAAGCAGGCTGGTCAAGTCTGGCTCAGGGGCTGGAGTTTGCCAATCCTTACCCTAGAACATAAGCTCTTAGACAGTGGATAGTCCAGAGCCCTGCACCAGTGGTGAATTCTGCGAGGGCTTTGAACTTCCTGAGGAAGTTCCATAGACCAGAGTCCACAGCTTTCCAAGAAGTCCAGGATTAAGGACGATTAGGGGCCACCATCCTAGAGACAATCAGTGACTTTTAGGTACCGTGCAGTCACTCCTGGGAATTCCTACCTAGTAACTAATACTATTAGAGACACTGGGGGTAAATAATTGTCTAGATGATCTGGTTATTCATGAATCGGTTGTCTCCTGTTGGCTTTATAAGACTCAGAGGAAGCTGAAATTCCACACCTCTAGTTTTCAGAGGGAAAACCTCATATTTTCAAATATTTAGTAAAAGTAATTTAGGTTCAGGTGAATATCTGAAACATATTTTAAGTGTCCAGACTGTTTCAGGCTGTAAGTAGAAATCAGATTCAACCTGCTAGGAACTTTTCTCTTTAAAAGGTTCTTTACCCCACAGGTGGGTTCTTGTTAACTCCACTGCCATGAAGGACTACAGCAGAGGTATAGGCAGGATGAAAGTTGCTTATTAAAACTGAATGTGTGAGCTTGCAGGCTGCCTAACAGGTGGCTGTTAGCCAAAGCTAAGCCCTTGAATGTTCAAATTCATGAAATGGAATAGTGACCCTGGGGCAGAAGTGGTGGTGGGAAAACCAAAAATGTGCATTTGAAAGTAAATAAGGGGGAGCCCAGGTGGCTCAGTCAGTTAAGCATCTGCCTTCAGCTCAGGTCATGATCCTGGGGTCCTGGGATCCAGCCTCAGGGCGGGCTCTGCGCTCAGCGGGGAGTCTGCTTGAGGATTCTCTCTCCCTCTCCCTCTGCCCCTCCCCCTGGCTCGAGTTTTCTCTCTCGCTCCCACTCTCTCTCAAATACATAAATGAATCTTTTTTTAAAATTCAGTAGTTTTGGGGGCTCCTGGGTGGTTCAGTCATTAAGCATCTGCCTTCGGCTCTGGTCGTGATCCCAGGGTTCTGGGATCGAGCCCCACATCGGGCTCCCTGCTCGGCGGGGAGCCTGCTTCTCCCTCTCCCACTCCCCCTTGCTTGTGTTCCCTCTCTCGCTGTCTCTCTCTCTCTGTCTGTCAAAAAATAAATAAAATCTTAAAAAAATAATAAAAATAAATAAAAAATTCAGTAGTTTTTAAAGAGAATCATAATAATGGTTCTCACATTTATAAAAGGCAAAAAGCAAAACGTATCCAGGAGAAATAGTGTGGTGACTTCAGTGAGAAATTTACTATGAATGTCAGAGAGAAAAGAGAATTAGAACAGAGTACTATTGTGTGGTTCAAATACAGAGTTTTACCATGAGAGATTCTTGCTGATTTTTGAGACAGCCATGAATCCTCAAGTTGATAAAGCGTGCCTTATCATGGAAGCATGCCTGGGTAGTTGTTTCCAAGAGATTTCCATCTCATTCTATAAAATAATATCACATCAGCTAATTCCTGGAGCTTCGTATCTCATTTGATGAGATATGCCCTTATAGCTTTATATCACAGTGCCTTGCTGGGCTGGGGCAGCCCTAGACAGCTAGTCCTCCAACGTTAAAGCACCTTCCCTGACTGCACCATCAACTTTCCAGGTACCTGGTGTTTCCAGTGTTGAGGGTCCAAGTTCTTTCTGTCCTTCCTAATACACCAGTTAGCTACTTTGATAAAATCATCTATGGTCCAGTGCAAATCGGGAAGCCCCTTCCTTCCAAGTTGGCATGTGGTTTTTTTTTAATGGGCTTCATGGAGAAGGTGTGCAGGTGAAAATCTCAAGTCAGACCAGGGGGTGGGTGGGTGAATATATATAGCCCCTCACTTCGTACTCCACAGCCTCCCATTCTACCTGCATATAGAGCTGTTCCTATTTGTGTGATTTAGCAGAACGTATGGGTACAGCTTGATGGTGCAGAAGATTCATTCTTTAGCGAAAGACATAAAAAGAAAGCAGGAGAGAACTCACGGCATTAGCAACACACCGTGAGACTCCACCAGGTATACATCAGTGCACTAACAACCTTATAGAGTCCCTGCTAGAAATGTACCACATTTAGCCGTGGTTTGTCCTTAATTTGTTCAGTGCTTACATTTCTTTTTAAACTTTATCATTGATTCTATCAGTCATTCACTAAGAATGGGGTACTGTAGTGGAGACAAGAGAACTATCAAAGAAATTAGAACCACACTGAGAGGAAAAGACACCCACTTTGGAACAAGCTGGAAAATAACACATAAACTGATAAATTACATGGTTACAGATAATAAAGGCAATACATATATCAAGCTCTTTGAGATCGGGACTTTTGCAAGATAGAAAAACCCATGGGAGCCCTTTCCATTGCTCCTGCTTTCCTTTACAAGCTGTGCTCTAGTTGATACACCTTAAAATCCTGTCATCTTATTTCTTCCTGCCTAACAGGGATCCTTGGAGCATTTTTTAGGGCTCCTTTTGGACTGTGGATATCATCTGGCCCCCTAGGTAAAGATGAGGCTGGGCAAGTCAGATTCATTTGTGAAGTAGAACCCCTAATTTAAAAAAAAAAATGACCATACCCATCTCATTTTGGGTGGACAGCAAGAAGTTGTTAGAACTCTCACTTTTCTTTAATCTACCCCTTTCTTCCACACTCCTTGCTGTCTTCCGTAATGGAGAGTGGGCCCAAAAGAGAAGTAAGTTGTTGATAGGGTTGGTGGGAACTTCAGCAGGCTAGAACCGGGCAGTGCTAATAGGAAAGAAGAAGGAATGGGGAACAAAGGGGCTTTCAGGAGAACCTGAAGTCGGCCTGCAAGGCACATTGCCTGTATATATGATATCGTCCGTGGCATGGTTTTTAGGTTAAAAACAGAAGCGCAAGAGAAGACACATTTCAAAGACATTCCATCAATGAGATTTAATGTGGCTAATTCATGACTCAAAATTGTGTGCCTGGTTTGATCAGTTTACCAATAAATTTGTTACTCAATGAGATTTGTTGGTTTAAAGCAACTCCTGTGTGGTAATTAATATGAGACTAAAAATCAATCGGTAAATTTGGACATGACTTAGGCTTTTTGAAAGAGTGTGTCCTTGTGTAATAGTAGTAAGAATCTATTTACCTCTAATACCTTTTTTCTCTTTTAAACATACAGACTTCTTTTCCTGTGAATCCGTCACTTGCAGCTAATCCTGCAATGGCTTTCAATCCTTACTTACCTCATCCTGGGATGGGCCTGGTTCCCGCTGAACTTGTACCGAATGCACCTGTTCTGATTCCTGGAAACCCGCCTCTCGCATTGCCAGCAGCTGCTGGTCCCAAACTGATGCGTTCGGATAAACTGGAGGTACTGGTGTAGAACTATGTAAATACCTATAGGGTAGCTATTAACCGCATGCACAAAGCAACATTCTCAGAGCCCAGGGTTTTGAATGCTTTAAACAAGGGCACCTGGATTTCTAGCTTATGGAGTACAACCTCGGGAAAACGGTAAAGGTTTTACTACTGCAGTCGCACCCTGCTGTGAAGTGCATTGATTCGGTCGTACAACAGGTCAAACAATGTCTTAGCGTGCCCAACCGCATACTCGCTGTGGAACCCGAAGCCTGGTGGGAACGTTCCTTTTCCCCAGGCTCCCGCTTGACAGACTGCGATGAACTGTAGTGTTAATGAGTCTCAACTTGCTAGAATAATCCAACTGGGGGATGGAAAAAAAAAAAAAGTAGACTAACTCTCTATGAATGCAGAATGTGAAATGAGTATCATAGAATCTAAACCTTTTTCTCCATCTTAAGAATGATGGACTAGATAATAAATATCCTCCCTGCCTATGAAAAGGCAATCTAAAAGAAACTTCAAACAGCGTTTTGATTTAAGGAAGTCCTTCAGTCTTCCCTTGTTATGCTTCATAGATTGAAAGAAATAGCTAGTCCGTTTCATACAGAGTCAAAGTCATTGGCTGACTTAAATGCCTGGCAGTGTATCGTAATAGAATCTGATTGTACACGTAGCTCAGTCGTGAGCCACGATTTTGCTGGGGAAAACTGCATGGCTGTGTGATAAAGACTCATCTTGGAGTCGAGCAAAACAGCCGCCTCTTGCAAATTTGGCTAATTACACTTCAGGCTGTGAATTAACTGGAAGATTATTAAGTGGTTTTCCACAATACTTTTAAGCACTTTGATTTCAACGTAAGGAAGACAGACAACTTTGCTTCAGAGGGAGTAGAGTATTTTTCCCTTGGACTAGAAATGTCTGTGTTTACACCTCACACTGAATATGGATTTACCTTATCCTTCAGCTTTTTAGGTTTTTCCTAAATAGATGACAAAATCATGTAGACTACTGCTCTTGCATTTGCTGGCGAAATAAATAAAAGCTAATCACCTTCCAGGCATCAATGTGATGTGTGTTTTTGTTTTGTTTTAATTTAAGGTTTGCCGAGAATTCCAGCGTGGAAATTGTACCCGTGGGGAAAACGATTGTCGCTATGCTCACCCCACGGATGTTTCCATGATCGAGGCAAGTGATAATACCGTGACAATCTGCATGGATTACATCAAGGGGCGATGCACCCGGGAGAAATGCCGGTACTTTCATCCTCCTGCACACTTGCAAGCCAAACTCAGGGCAGCTCATCACCAGATGAACCATTCAGCTTCCGCCACTGTGGTAAGTAAGAAGGAACCAGGTGTTGTGGACCGTTGCGGGGTAAATGATAGTATATCCCCCAGCTTGTCCAATATCCTTGTAACCATAATCTTGGATAGTCATGAATGGATCTTACTCTGAATAGCCAGGGTTATAAGCTGGAAAAGAGAGAACCTATTTATTCTGCTTCATTCACTGAAATTTTGTCAAGATAATCGTTTCAAAGCTTTACTAACGATTTTCATTGACCGTGCTTTTTTCCCCATCTTTAGAGGAAGGCTACATTATGTAATTTAAACAGGAAATTATTTTTGAGTGGTTTTTGATAGCCTGACTAATCCTAATAACCTACAAAGGCAGAAAGTTACCTCTCGGCCCCGTGAGCCACCTTCATGGACACTGTGCTAGTAAGGTAGGAGGTCGGGAAAATATACGCACAGCACTCCAGTGTGATGGGTTGAGAAATAGGAATTAGTGTTACTTAAATTGGTCATAGCTATCAGTGACTTTGATAAGCGACTTGCAATTTCTTTTTTGACATGGGCCTTTCCTCGTGTCATAGGGTAGAATAATCCCAATAAGGGAGCAAACCCTGAGGAAACCTCATGATCCCGAAGCCCATGACAGGAACTTACCACTTCCTAAACGAGATGCATTTATTTTCAAACATCCCTATTTGTGAAGAAGTTTTCCCTCACATTGAGTCGCAATCTACCTTGCTATCACTGGAACTTAACACTAATTTCATTACACAAAATAAGTCAGTCCCTATTCCATAGGAGTGGGGCTCTCGTGTCTTTTTTCTAAGGCAAGTACTCCAAATTTCTCCAAACTTTTCCCAAGGAGTATAGATGGAAGGACACAGCACCAATTCTCCCTTGATCTGGAAATCAGTCTGTTGATGAATTTTTTTTTTTTTTTTTAAGATTTTATTTATTTATTTGAGAGAGAGAAAGCACAGGAGAGGGGGGAGGGTCAGAGGGAGAAGCAGACTCCCCGCCGAGCAGGGAGCCCGATGCGGGACTCGATCCCGGGACTCCAGGATCATGACCTGAGCCGAAGGCAGTGGCTTAACCAACTGAGCCACCCAGGCGCCCCCTGTTGATGAATTTTAAAAAGACTTCACCAAGTGGTTTTGGTCTTAAATTCTTTTGAATGAAGGGATTTTAAGCTACAGAAATAGCAAGGTCTCCAAAATGTTCAGTGCAGATTTTAAACCTCCAATTCTTTGATCACTTCTGTTGGTGGCATAGAGTTTAGGAGCAGTGTGGGTCTATAATAGAGAGGAGGAATACAGTAGGCCCCCTAAAAAGAAAGGTTCTCACATGCCTGAGATATACAAGGAATGGCTTGTTTATGCCATTGAACACCTGTTCCGTGCTCAGTCATGGGGCCTTCATATGTATGTGTCCATTTCTCATGACTTGGCTGTGTTTGGTAGAAGACATATAAGTCAGCCCCAAATTTCCATGTAGAGAGTTAACTATTTGTTATCTGGTAGGCCTTCATTTGGTACTTGTGAATATCAATATAAAATTCCTTTCTGAGTAACTGATCAGAGCAGGATCTTAGCAGGAAGGTCAGATTGGCCACCAGAATTGGTTCAAGGTAAGATCAAATAAAGGAGGCTTCTTGAAGAAATGTAAGCTTTCTGGAATACTACTCAGCCATCAAAAAAAAAAATGAAATCTTGCCATTTGCAACGACGTGGATGGAACTAGAGGGTATTATGCTAAGCAAAATAAGTCAATCAGAGAAAGACAATTATCATATGATCTCACTCATATGTGGAATTTAAGAAACAAAACAGGATCATAGGGGAAGAGAGGAAAAAATAAAACAAGACGAAATCAGAGAGGGAGACAAACCATGAGAGACTGTTAACTCTAGAAAACAAACTGAGGGTTGCTGGAGGGGAGGAGCGTGGAGGGATGGGCTAACTGGGTGATGGACATTAAGGAGGGCACATGATGGAATGAGCCCTCCTTAAGTAAGACTGATGAATCACTGACCTCTACCTCTGAAACCAATAATACATTATATGTTAATTGAATTTAAGGTTTAAAAATAAATTTAAAAAATAAATAAAAGAAGCTAGACATAAAAAAGAAAGAAATGTAAGCTTTCTGTATTTTTAAAGATTCAGAGTTGAAATGCTTTGTAAAAAAGTTTTTTTGTTTTTGTTTTTTTTACCTTCTTCATGTTCATGTGCGTAGCTCAGCTTGACTTCACTGAAAGCAGTTTGTATGCATTTAAAAGCAAAAGACGCGAAGGGTAAATATTTAGTTCCCAAAGGAAAATAGAGATACCTTTAGACTTTGTGATCCACAGGAAAAAGGAGGTCATGGCTTGCCCCCTTTTTGGCATGTGGAATGCTAGTCACTCAACACAAGTGTTCCTATCTCCTTAAGAGTTTGGAGCATGCCTAATTCTTGTCACTGGGACATGTTTTTTAAGTCACATGTAATTTGCTGACCAAAAAAAAAAAAAAAAAAAAAAATGTAAAAAGTCATGTCAAACTTCTCCAGTGAATCTGATCCAGGAGCAAATCTGAGTATTATAAGCACAGTGGGATTTTGAAAGAAGTGTAGACATGAAAGAAGGATTTTAAATTCTAATGCATTTTAGAATTAAACCTGACAAGGACTTAATGAAGCCAGTGATACATCCTGAAATGCACAGCGAGCACCTGTAAATGAGAATTGCACGCATTTTGCTGTCTGTGTTATCTGGGTGAGGCGGGTGGTGGGGAAGAAAAGAATTTGCTTTTCCCTCACACGTTAGTTGGGAGAAGCACAGTTATGGATTTGGACCTGAAGTCCTTCTAGAATTTAGATTTTGTTTTATGGAACTACAGTATCATCTGTTTTATCACCATCACCATTGATCTCCTAGATCCATGTTGAAATTTTAGCTGGCCAAAATCCCTTTCCTGCTCTATCTGTTGCTTCTGCCCATCTCATTGTAATAGATTCATGGATGAACATCCCCGAGATGTTAATTTTAAATGATTATTTGCTGTTAAGCTTGAGGTCACATCTTGCTCAAGTGAGGAGGCCCCTTTTTATTGGCCTAGATGAGTGAAGTTGAAAATCAGGGGTTTTTTTTTTTCCCCTGTATGTGTATTTCCCGTTTGGGATTAAGTACTCATCTAGTCAATTGCTCAGTGGATAGGCTGCCCTGGCGAAGGGTTCCCGGGCCACACTATCCAACTGCTGCCTGCTTGCTTTGAGAACATTTTTTACTTTCTCTGGTGCTATTTATTAATCCCTCCCTCCCTCCCTCACAGGCCCTCCAGCCTGGTATGCTTCAGCTGAGACCAAAGAGATCAGCACTTGAAAAGACCAATGGTGCCACTCCGGTCTTTAACCCCAGCGTTTTCCACTGCCAGCAGGCTCTGGCTAACCTGCAGCTCCCGCAGCCAGCATTTATCCCTGCAGGTGAGAACAGGCCTCTAGGCCACGCGAGTCTAGCCATGTTGTGAATGGGTACAGCGCCCACCAGCTGCCAAAGAGCTTTAATGGAGAACTGTGGACAGGGGTTTGGGTTGGAAATAAAACAAGGCTGTTAGACTTGCTCTGCCAGTCTTTCGGACCAAATGTCTCCATGATTCCTTAAAAGTAATGGTTTGAAATCAAACGAGGAAAAACTGTTGACATTTTTCTTTTTAACATTTCTTAGTTTTTGCTTCTGATGATTGTTTCACTTGATTCAGTCTCAAACTAATTCCTTGACTCTTAGGTATCCCCTGAAAAGACACTGGTCACCCTTCAAAAAAAAAAAAAATGTTTCCCAGCTTCAGCATTGCAAAAATACGTCATCTGTATATCTTTGATATGCCAAAGATAGTTATAATAAACCTACCCTTGAACTTACAGTGTAGTTATAAGACAGTATAGTGTGTGTGTGTGTATATGTATATATCTCACATACTTTTAGCCTTTAACTCTTATACCAGTTAATATAAAAAATAGAGCAGGGCGCCTGGGTGGCTCAGTTGGTTAAGCGACTGCCTTCGGCTCAGGTCATGATCCTGGAGTCCCGGGATCGAGTCCCGCATCGGGCTCCCTGCTCGGCAGGGAGCCTGCTTCTGCCTCTGACCCTCCCCCCTCTCATGTGCTCTCTCTCTCTCATTCTCTCTGTCTCAAATAAATAAATAAATAAATCTTTAAAAAAAAAATAGAGCAGTTTATCATATTTTCCTGATACTATGCAGGATATTTTGTTACCTTCTACATTCAAATATATGTAATACCATAACAGTTTTGTACCAAACTGAATAGAAAATTTTGTTCAAATAAATACCACATATGAGGAGAAATACTTTTCTTCCTGTGGTTCAGTACTTTAAGAATGAGCATATATTAGGAATAAATTGAAAATACTAACCACTGGGAGTACAGTGGTTTTTGTTTTTTTGTTTTTTTGTTTTTTTTTTTTTACCAGAATCATAAATGCCCCGGTTTGGAAACTATTATTAAATGAAACTGCTATGCTTTAAAATTAGTTTAGAGAACCTTATTGACTATATAAACGTACTAAACACATGGTATTATATACCTACACTTGAAAACACCCATTGGTTAATTGTTAAATTAATCAACTAATTAATTTAGAAAGAAGCCATAGAAAACCAATCTTTAACCACAGTAGTTCTTTATTTAAAAAAACAGAATTTTTACAATTTTTAGACTTTTTTTGCTGGCTATGGCTAATTTAAAGTCTAGATTTAGGAGCGAAATGTCAGAAGAATCCCTTTCCCCCTAATTAATAGCAAAATTAAAACCTGTTGGGCTGAGCGCCCCCTCTTGATGAAAAACCTCTTTGCTCTGTGTTCATAGTCAAGTTCACCGTTGTGAGGTGGATGAGGCTGTGGTAATAGGTGTCCAAAATAAAAATGCAATTTAAGCAAGGTAATTCCTTTAAAGAAACAATTAACGTTCAGTTTTATACCTAAGAATCCAAGAATTACTTTGATTACCTGGGTTGGGAGCTTAAAACTAAGCTGTAATTGTGAGCATGGGAGTTTACTGGATTTGCATGTGCTCATTAATTAATATTGCAAAGAATATCTTTCTAGTTAAAAATGATTTCTCTCCGTAAAGATTTAATAATGAAATCTCTCTCATTTACTTTTCACGCTTTTCTGCATGGTGTGCAGGGCCAATACTGTGCATGGCACCCACTTCAAGTGTTGGTAGGTTTTGTACAAACACTCTCAACTTTTTCTAATCCGAAAATAAGTGTTTTTCTGTCATGACTGTGAAGGAGATGAGTGATGTGGTTCATGGGCCACCAGCTTGGGAGGAAGGGGCATTTGGAAAGCGTCAGGGCACAAAGAAGAGAGAAAGCAGGCAAGGTAAAGAAGCTTGGAAGTGGTATGGTGGCCTGCCTTTGCTCTGTGGAAGGCTGAGCATATTGATGACAAAAGTTGCAAGAAGGTACTTAACTTCTCACTGCAGTTTCACCACTGTGGCTACCAGACCTTTCCCTCTCCTACGATTATAATGCAGCTATACCGTGATTAGAATAATTTATATGTACAGATATCCTAGAAAACGAGTTGCATCGCTAAGCGTAAGCAGCTTAGGGTACTTCATCCCCAGTAGGAAGAAAATAAGAGAATTCTGCACTTTTGTATCTTAAAACTGATATTTGTAGCACTCTTTGGACATTTTCTGAAGAGTGAAGATTTAATAGGGTGCTGTCTGTTTCACATCTCTGTCATTGTGGAAAGACAACAGTGCTATGCTCTTGAGTCCTAGGTGATCGCCCCTGGGGCCAAATACTGACCCTGCCATTTCTCTCCTTTCATCCTAAAAATTGCAGCTGAACTATTTTGAAACATTTCCTTAGCCAGCCAGAATGGGCAGTTTTCTTCTTAGCTTTACACCTGTTGCTTTCTAACGTGTAATTCATAAAGTATAACAAAACAGTTCTTGCCCCCCTTCCCCCACCAAAGTTATCCACAAGATCTAAATCATTCTATGTTGACAAGGAATGAGTTAGGCAAAGCTAGAGCCTTCTGTAGTGTTCTGGGATGAATTCTGTAGTGTCCTGGGAGGAAATGCCAGGAGCATGGGAACCAGGCACAACAGAATCCTTTCAGAATGACTCTTTGGGGATATGTGATTCTTAACAATCACTTACCCGCCGATCCTTTAATCAGTCACCAATACAATCTGGTAGCCACCTCAAGACCATTTTTACGTCACTAACATTGAAGAAGACAAGAAAGTTGACTTGTTTCCATTGTAGGAGTTCTCAGTTCCTCCAGTCCATGGGCACAGACCAGGGGAAAACAGCTCCATTTGATACAGGGAGGAATTGTCCCACCGCACACCCCCCACCCCACCATGTCCTATCAATCCAGTGCTTTTCATCCTTTTTGAGAGTTTGCCATAGCCTGACCTCCGTCCTATTGGTTGACCAGAGTAGATGCAGAACCCAAAAGGGACAAACAGGTTTACTGAAATAAAACAAAAGGTCAAAATGACACACAGTAGTAGCACTCACGAACATAGCAGGGGGTGACCCCTGGCCTCGGAGGTGGGGCCTCCGTTATGGAGGGATCGGCTGTCCCCTGTAGGAAGTAAAACATGTCCACTGATACTAACAGGAGCATCACACGCGTATGATTAGAACAGACTTCTGCAAGTTGGTGAAATGTGTAGGAATGCGAACTGCATGCCTCAGTGGCACTGTGCTCCGAAAGGGCAAGCAAGAGTGTTCTTAGAATCGACAAGTGATACACTAAGGGATGTCTATAGGTAACAGGTTACTGGAGATACGCTTAAGGGGTAACTACAGGACTTCTGTTAATCACCACTTGGGGTACATTTGTGATTTCTGTGACATTGTATATATTGATTTTCCTCTCTCCAGGCCATTTACTTTCTCTGTAGACATTCAGAAAATCTGAACTCAGTGGATGTAGACATAAATTATTATATATGCATGCTCGCCATTCACGCCGTACCATTCACACATTAATTCCTTAGTTTGCTTTCCAAAATGAGCTAGAAATGAGAAAAGCATCCCAAAAGCTTTTAAAATGAGAAACTAGACAAGGCAAAAAGAGAACATCCTGAGAGAGACGTGACAGCTGCTAACCCTACAGTCGTCGTTTCAATAATTGCGATGAAGACAAGATTTTGTCGGGTGTTTACTAGGAAGCCCCCCATGTGTTTGTTTGACAGACAGCGTAGATTTCCAAGGGATTTGCCAGAGGTGTACTTAAAAACCTGCATGCACAATCCACTGTGTTCTTCATATCTTCTCCCCCACCACGTACCCACCAATCGAATTGCCTTTTTTTTTTTTTTTTCCACATGTAGATCAGGTAAGTATACCTGTAACTGTCTCTATGCACGTGCCAAGCTAGTGATGATACTCAGGTCTCTCAGTTAGCGAACCCAAGCACCAATTCACATTTCCCCACTCACATTTCAACTGTGCATCCCAGTCACCTGCTTGACGAGGCATTCCAATAGGTAGCCTTGGTAAAATCAGCTTTTGTTCTATGCGCTCATCGTAGCCCCTTCCGAAAATTCGGCCTTTTAAGTCAGCTATGTAATGGGATTCTGCTAAACAACTAGCTGTTGAGAGTGATGCCGTGTTCCTTAATGGTAACTATAATGGGCTTTCCCCTTTTCTCTTTTTAAATTTTTTCCCCCTTCCACGCTGTGTTGCTTTGCGCTGTGATTGCATGTTGCACCCCGGTGTGTCCATTACGATGATGTCCCATGGCTTCTTGCTGTGCTACCTACCCGCCCCGTCCCATCGTTTTCTGTCATGGTTGCGTAAATTCTCCACCCTCCCGTGTGTTGCTTCCGTGGTTGCCTACTGAAAGTGCCCATGATGCACGGCGCAGCTCCCACCACTGTGTCTGCAGCACCAACACCTGCCACCAGCGTCCCCTTCGCTGCAACAGCTACAGGCAATCAGGTTTGGCCGTTTATTTTACCTGTTCAGACGTAGAGAACTACCGTGTGTTGCTAAGGCACAGTATATGCCTTTGGGATTGGCGAGAGACACTGAGCCGTACTCCTGGGTGTTTCTTAAGCAGTCGTCACACTTAGAATTTTTGTTCTTGGGTATCTTCTGGATGGGTGTATCTGCCACCCATCCTGAGGTGAATCAGCAGTTTTCTCAGTTTCAATCAGTTCCCGGAGGTCACTCTTCCTATGCTATCTTCACGATTGCTGCTGTCACACCAATCCTCAAACACATATACTAAGTACTCCTTAAATACTTCCTCATTGGTCAAGAGAAGAATCTATTTTATTTTCCTACCATTGTTTCAGTTATTGCCTTTGAACTTGCCCTTGGTACTATCGTCACCTTTTACCTTCAGATCTGCTGGAAAGAAAGCCAAACAGCACACTTCTTTCCAGGGCACAGATATCCTTATCATTAGCCCGTGATGACGTCAGCACTGTCACACTGACACTCCGACACTCGGTGACACTCAGTGATGACATCAGAGATCTCACACGGACCTTAGATGTGCCTGTGTTGTTGTGATTTTCATTTGCGTTAGGTATTTGCAGGTGGAGTCCAAGACAGATTTTAAATTGGGGGAGAGTCTCGAAATTGTCATGAGATACATAGAACAATCATCGTGTAACGTGAGGGCTGTTTTGCCTTACTGAGGTGGTAACCATGCTTCCAGCCTGCACGTCCCACAGCTGCTTCAATTACAAGTGATAACCACACAGCACGTAGAGCATTAATCCACTGGGGGAATAAGCCACATTCTAATCTGTGCTTTGCAAAATTAACCATTAGTGGATATGGTTAATATGTCTCATTTTTTCTGTGAAATTGATTTGCTTTTTAATTGCCATGTCCAAACAGTGAACAAAATAAATGGGATTCTCTCAAGAAACTATTTTAATCTAAAATCTTTTTTACTACTATAGATACCCCCATTATCAGTAGATGAACTGAATAGCAGCATGTTTGTTTCACAGATGTAGAAGTTACCAGTAGAACAGTAAGTTTCTTTAAGTATTAATATGAATAATATTTATAGATGATATCTTTTATATTTACACAATTGCATTTGCTAAAGGCTTTGGTAAATATTTTCATTACTAGGCATTGCTTATAACGTAGAGCTTGAGTTAAGCATTCCAAATTTTCCAAATTGAAATGTGGAGAGCAAATATGCAATTTTTTCTATGAAAAAATGACAGCCAGTACTGTGTTTTCCCAATGAGCTTGCAAATTCTGAAATGTTTTCCTGTTAGGAGTGTGAGTTGTCAGCCCAAGGCACAGATCACTTTTGAATATTAATTCTTTAACACTTTTCTAGCTTTGTTTTTCTGTTGTTGAAGTAAAGCAAAGTAATTTTGTCACAGTCTGACTACAATGAATATCTTAAAGGCAGTCAGCAATATACTTCTCCCGTGATATCGTACAAGATCGTGCTTTTTACACTCTGCCATTTTGTGTTGCTTCCATGTAAATCTATCAGAATTGTTCCAGCTGTTTTGAATTTTGAGTGATATAATTTAGTAATATAATCATTATTTTCATTCAAATCGTGGCTTTTTAAAAAAAAAAAAATTGTTGTTGTTGGATTCCCGTTACCCCACCCCCCACCCCTTTGATCTCCCATTTGCCCCATCCAGAGCCAGGCATAGCTCACACTTAATTTGAGGAGTCCTTCACTTGGAAAATGTGACTTTTCAAGCCACTTAAGATTACAGGGTATCTTAATTAATTACTGGTAGGGACTTATTAAACAAGAAGTGTACGAATTCTGAATTGCATATATTAGTCATTGAAAGTTTGAGGTTCTCACGACTGGAGTGTTTCATTTAATTGACGGAGGTGATGGTTCTGTTCTCTTGGTGAACTAGTTCCCCAGAACCTGGCCCAGAACGCGAACTCTGTCCTGGACCGAGCCTGTGGCTTGACTGCACATTAGACCATTAGACAAACAAGTCCCTTCGATCATAAGGAATGTTTTACAAAGGCACCTTTGAGTATGTGGAATAACGGAAGTAGCTGTAAATTGTAATTGTTTTCAGGCGAATCCTTTGGGATGGTGGCAACTTGGGATTAGCATCAAACGTGAGAATATAGGTTTTGCAAATACCTGCCTGATTCTCATGGGCTGCTTTACAATAAAGTAAACAAAAGTTGTCAAATATAATGACGAGCTTTCCAACAGCACATGTTTGAGAATCGTGATTCCTTTTTGCTAGACTCCATTAGAAAATTTAGACGTATTTAACACACCATAATCACTTCAGTGTGTGACAGATGTCGAAAATTTCTCCAAAGTTCAAGAGAGTAATTTTGTAAAATGCTATATACCTAGATTTCACACCTTGGCTATTTCTGCATGGCTCTAAACAATTCAAATAAAAAAAGTTTAAAGTATGTTTCATATTTGCGTATTTCAAAATGGTGGGTATCGAATATGTTTTCCCAATATATGTTGAAGGAAGTGGAGAGATGGGTGGCTGTTCAGCCACACATTCAGGCATTGTGTGGATGAAACCTTAAATGACTGAGCGCATCTCTGTCACCTTAGGGCAGTTCTGTGCACTAGCACTCAGTGAGGCCATGAACTGTCATGCCGTATGACTCTCTGTGACCCTTTCCAACAGCCCCATTTTCACAGGTGTAGGATATGAAACTCAGTGGGGAATATATTGGCAGTTCGCATACAGAACTGGCACAAGAACCAAGTATCCCGACTCCTGCTTCAATAACCCCTTAATATTTCTCACTCTTTCTCTCTCTCTCTCTTTTTTTTCCATTTCAGTTGAAATTCTGAACAACAGAGTTACAGAGTATCAAGATCTCTCCGTGAGAACCTCCATATGGCCTTTCCGTATATATTCTCATAGGTCCTCTTCTACCAATGCTACAATAAGTGTGATGCGGTCGATATATTAAACCAAACGCATATACCAACCAACAGATTCAAACAAAACCAATAAAGCATTAAACAGTCAGTGGAGATGTTAAAACAAAACACACATAGAAAATGAATAACTAACATTTATCTTATTTGAATTAGTAGGTAGAACACGACCATAAAGTTTTGTAGTTTGTTACATTATTCTTTGTGATTTTCCAATAACCATTATGCTAAGTGAATCTCCACAGTGGACTGTTGGCTTACTGTGCATTCTTGGTGGGTAAATGTTCGTCTGTTTCAAAGTGTTACCTTACTGTTTTGTTTACACAATATAGTCTATTGGGTTGATTTAGAATGTAACAAATGTATCCAGTACCATTTTCCTCACTATTGTATTGTGGTGTGGTGTGTTGTGTTAGATTTTGACATACTATAGTGTTTTCCTCTAGATGAGTGGTGTTTGATTTCAACTAGAATATTACTAATGGGAAACAGAAATATCTGTGTTTGAAAAACATAACAGATTAATGTTAACATGCTTTCTCTCTCTTTAGAACATTTCTGTAGGTTTCTTGGGGCTGACATTCATTATAAACATGCATGTGTATAATTTGTACCTGTGGATCTGACCTTGCATAATACAATCACATGACTAGGTTTTTTTGAGGGGAGAGAGAAATAATTACCTGCAAAAAACAGGGAACTTCTGAACATATGAACTCCTAATCTCACTGCTCAAAAAGCTTGCAAAATTACAATTTACCTTTAAAGGTAAATTTCTCAGCATTTATGTGAAGAGCCCATTACATTTCTTGTGGTTCAAGGATCCTATCTCCTAGGCTGAGCATCTAAAGCTGAGCCATTTGTCAACTCCAGCTGAAGATTAGTACTTGGAGGCTTAAAAGTATGCTAATTGTAGGTTATAAATTAAACAGGGAGGTGAGGGCGTGGAGATAGTTTTTCCGTTTTAGAGGATAGTGTGTGAGGCAATCTTGCAAAAGTCAGGGTGAAAGAAAAGTGGTTCTGAGTGAGGCCTTTCCTCCCCAAATGGATAGCCTTCTCCATTGATCACAGCTGGAGCATGAGTATAGGTTTGGAGAAACCGTGGGGGGTGAGGAGGAGGGTAGGAAGACATTTCAAGTGCGTCTTTGATTTGCTTAAAACTGCTAGGAAGGCTGTCCACAGTTGTCTTTAGCTTCAGTTCACCCGAATTTCCAGTTCCGTTGAATGCTTCAGTGAAGGAGCCAACATCTGTGTCAAGTTGCCTTTCCCAGACTTTGTTAACAACAGAGTCATATCATAACCAAGCCTTTTTTTGTTTCCTCGTTTAGATTTGTTTGTTTTTATATGTATTTGAAAACTGTAATAGGTTCTCAGCACCCTTTAGATGAGGCAGACCAGCTATGCTCCATGGAGCTGAGCTGAATTCACGTTACTAGTCCTCGTGAAATAATTGTATAACCAAGTAAAACAGTAGTTCGTATGGTAGGTGACATACCTCCTCCACTGTACTCAGTTATTAAAGTTACTATTGCTATACAGTGCTGGAACCATAAGACACTTCACATCAACCTAGGTTTAATATTTTCTACTAAATATATATTCTTTCACTAGAAGGCATACAATCAGCAAACTTAATGTTATAGCAGGTTTGTTCTCCTTCAGGAAAATGACAAGCAAAGAGAAAATGGGATTTAGGATACCTTAAGCTGGTTAGCAGCATTTGAATCATAGAACAATGGAGTTTGCACAACTTTCTCACAAGGGATGAAACTGGGGCCCGGGGCACGTGACCTGCCCACGGCTACCTACCTAATCGGTGGCAGTCAGACCCAGAAAAATCTCGTGACTTTCGGTTGTTCCTCTGTTTCTCACCGTTTATGCTTCGGCCCATTCGCGACTCCCTCCCAAAGCAGATCCATTCCGCTCAGAATACAAAAGAGCAAAATTAACTGTGCGGGAGTTGATATCCTATTGTTCTTTATGATCAATCCCAAATCACGATCATCAGTAATTTCTAAAGGGTCTTGCTTGCATCAAGACCCTGTCATCTATTAACAGTATTGCCTGGAGTTAGAGAACAAGACACGGCCAGACTTTTGCCTGTTGACTCCATGAGCCACTTAATTTCTGTTTCCCAAAATCTTAACGTTGTTAGAGAAGAAAGTAGAGTACACCTTTGTGAAATAACTTGTGTGTAGAACCCGTGCCGGCAGAGCTAATCACACAAACCCAGGAAGGATGCACCTGAGCTAGTCTGGGGTCTTCCTTAAAGGGGCTAGAGATGTCTTCAGTGCGAAATCAACTCTTTTGTGTAGTTTGACATTTTGATACAACGTATACTGTCTCATTTAACCTTTTACACTTCTGACGAAGATTTACATAGACAAGCAGCCTAGTGTACGGTGGTTTTTATGATGCTGAGAGCACTGGAAGACATCCATGATGACTTATTTTTCAGTAGGAGGTTCAGTGAAGGATATTCAGGGTAGTTGCAGTGTGGGTGCCACAATATTTGATATGGCTGGCATTTTAAAAGTTACTTTCTAAGTGAATTTAGAAGAAAGACAATTCAAAGCACTCAAGTTTTGATCAGATGCAAAAGAACGTTGACAAAAATGCAACTGTAAGATAGCACTCTTTAAACTAGTTGTGCAATGACTTATGCTGATTCTCTTTATTCAAGAAAAGAAACGAAGAAAGGAGAGTCATTAGGCTATAAATTTCCAGTTAAAAAGCCAAGTCACAAAACTAATCAGTGACTCTAAACAATAATTTACTGGATGAATTGTATATATAAAATTCTAACCACTTGTGATTCTTAGTTGACTTTTTATAAGCTTTGTATTTTACAAGGGCTTCTATTCTTATTTATCCAAAATTATTGTTTTTGTCCATTTCTCTCAGCCTTTTGCAAAAATAGGCAAGAGTACTGAAACTTGGATAAAACAGGTCAGGTATACAGAGAAAATAATCTAAAAGTTATCTGTTAAGAGGGTTTTAGTAGTATCAAAAAAAATTTTTTTAAGGCACTATGTGAACAGAAGTATATTTTAAAGAGGGATTAAGATGAAATTAAAACCAAATGGATTCATAAAATTGCTATTTAAATACAGTATTTACTTTTGCAATTGGAGCATGATTCTCTAACCAGCTGTTGCACTTCATCTCACTTGACTAGAGTCTTAATTTGTAGTTCATTGTCATGTGAAAAGTCATCTTCTCCCTCCTCCATCAACCTTTGCCATCTGTTTTTGAACATGCGAAAGCACTTTGATCTTGCCGTTAAGTGTTGTCCTGCACCGCGGGGCTGTGTTCACTAAGGTTCCGATTTATTTTAGTCTGTAGGGTAGGCTGTAATGCACAGAATGATTAGAAACTGGAATCCTCTTTCTTTTTGTCTCTTCTCCATTTCTACACACACTGAAATAGAAGTAGGGAAATAGGCCCTCCCAGTTGTGTTGAATAGATGTAGGAAGATAGTGGCCTCATTGTTCATTTTACCAGTGCCCGTCGAAGGCACCAGAATGAATAGTATCTAAAAGAGTATCACAACTTTTTTTGCAAACTTAGTTGGTAGCGTCATCAAACTGTAGATAATAATTGCAGACATAGTTTCTGAGCACCAAGTCCCTCATTGGTGCCAGGTTTTCATTTTTCTGTTTAGTTTTTAAGGTTTTTATTATACTACATTTTTATATCTCTAAGTCACTAACGAATTTAACTTTGCAGGAGAGTTAGAGAAAAGATTAAGATTTTACTACATGTACTCAACCCACCTAGATAGGTTCTAAACTGACACCGAAGCATGACAAGATATAGATTATAGTCCATAAATATTCTTTACAGTTCACAGTTTAAGAACAAACTTAACTTTATATACAAATAATAATTTTTAACTAATTATATTTAGTTGTTGCTTTAGCAACAAAACTACAACATGGCTACCTTTAGACACGTGTTTTCTTTTGTGTGATAATTTTACTCGTTAACTATACATGGTTTTTGACAGTATGAGCATGTAGAAGGTGCGGCTCAAAACTCAGAGAACAGATCTGGCTGAATTTTTCTTTAATCCCAAATTGCCATGCGAAAGCTGAATTTGTGTCCTTATATGACTTTTTGATCAAAAAGTTTACAACACATGGATTCTAGAGTCAGGCTCTTTAGCTTGTAGAATTTGTTGTGTGGAGAGGGTTATTCCACAGTATTTCGACTTCAAAACACGATTATTGCATTTCTCATCTATTATCTGACCTTTTTTTCATAACATTACTTATTCCAAATTACGCTATGCAGGAGGCATAGCTGTCAGTACAGAAATTCTCTTTTCTTGATTTATATACCCAGCCCAACACATCCAGATGAGGATTAAAGAATGATGGACCCGTATTTTGGAATGAATTAGTATTTGTAAAACCATGCATAAAGATACTGTGGAATGACCCCTTAACAGTGTTTGAGAGACATATGCTGCAGTTAACTGATGGTCTCAGTTAGGGTGCGACTGTGTGAGACACACCTTTTTTGCACTTATGTACATAGTCCATGAATGCTATGCTTGGAACTTTTGTTTTTTAAATATAAGAAATCTGTGATAATAGTGAAAAAGTTAGTAAGATAGAGTTATTTCTAAGGCCTTGAGAAGGAGGGGGGTTTTGCTAGAAGACTTAATTAAAGCACGATGTTGCTTTGCTGTTGGGGAGGCTTTCTGGTTTGCTACAGTTCACCAAAAGAAAAGACTGGTAACAGGTAACAGGTCACCTTCAGCTAACAGCACTGACCAAGAGTGAGAAAGTCCTTTCATCTTTTACAGTAGCAAGGATTATTGGCTTTTTAGATTAATCTCCATTGTAAACACACACACACACACACACACACACACACACAAGACAGGTTTCTGGCAAAGGTTTTTCTTTTTCAATGGTTGCAAGCAGTGAAGTACCCTGTAGGTTGCAAGATGGGTAGATCCATTTTGATCAACTTAGATTTCATCTTTCCCAGAAAATTACTGATGGAGAGGTATCCGTTCCATCAGTTAATATCCACTTAAGTGACAAAGTGTTAACGTTCACCACTACTTCTCCTTTAAAATCCAGATCCCAAAACCCAATTGGCAACCATCGAAAGACTTCATTTTATAGCTAAGTACGGCCAGCACAGGCATTTCGTTCGCTCCAAAGAAAGAAAAAAAAAAAAAATGCCCCTCGCACAACTTTATAAATGGCTTTAATCTTACCTTATACCTGTTCAGTGGAAGCTGTTCTCTGACTTGCCTTTACCAGATTAGGAAGTGCTTCACGGTGCCATACAGCCTCCCACTGGTTTAACTAAACAGAAGAGAACCAGCCCAAATCTCACATAGGTAGGAGCTGCAATCAGACCATCTCGGTCCATTTTAGCTCCCCGATCCCCTACCTCCCATTCCCCCATCTAACTTTTTGTTGCCTCCAGGCAATGGGGTTAGAAAGGTGTGAGGATAGATCACCATGGGTATTTTGGGTCCTTCACATCCTGGGGTGTGTCGCCCCTGCCTTGGAGAAGGAACCCATCCTGGGATCGGGGGGCTGGTATTAGTATTGCTACCCATCTTGCTGGTTCTCCCTTACAGAGGGAGGAAAACAAGCCAAAGCCAGAAAGCAATCCAAGCCTTACAGTTGTCCAATAGCTCAGGGCCAGCTGGTTAGAAATTTCTCTCTTTCCCCCCGCCCCACCCCTTCAGCCCTTAATCACTTAGAGTCAGCTCTACAACTGACAGCCTGACCATCTGACCAGCGTTTCCACTGGTACAAAATGTAAGCATTCATGCATTCTCTAGTTAGGGACTCCAACTTCCACCTCATCACCAACCTGTTTTCCTAACTTACCCTGCGTTCTTGTGTTGACATTTCCCGGTGAAGCTATAAGCAACAAGAATATATTTTCATAAGGTCAAGAGAAATATACAATTTTAAGTGAAGAAGAATCATCTATAAAATAGTAAGAAGGAACCTAGAAGCATCACAAAAGATAATTAATAGATGGCATGTTGCCCATGCTGACCGCCATTGGGTCACGCTCTTTGGAGCTGAAACACAGCAGCTGTGTTTCAGTGAGTCAGATTAGAGAAAGAAGCATAACAAAATGTGAAGACTTGAGGCCCCAAAGGGACCTCTGCCATGAAACCCAGGAAAGGGCTTAGTTTGACTAGTTCATACAGTTTCTAGCCCCTCCACTTGGCCTTGCCTGGGAAAGAACCACCCATTAATACTCCAAAGCAGGATGATTCCAGAGAAATTTTATCTTTAAATAGAACCCATCCTCAATAATAGTAGACCAAAAAGGGGAAAAAAAATCTATCACTCTAAGTCCCAACTATTTGAAGGTATTGCAAAAATTCTCACTAGTCACCTTCTACATCATAGGAATTTTTTTTTAAAAGTACCTCTGTAACAAGACCTAAATAGAAGTAACCCCACTTTAGGCCATGCTCTTTTCTCCCAAAACACACAACCTAAAGATTTATCTGTCATAGAAGTGCATGGTTGCAAAGCTTTATTCCTGTATGCAGATGCTATCTGTTCATGACCGAAGCCAAATGACTCTGTGGCCATGTCTTCTGTGTCTAGCAGTTGAGAGAATGATGCGACCGCCCTATTGCTGGGCTCTGGGGTTGCCCTTTTCGAAATAACTTTCCTTTTATTATTGTTGTTGCTGCTTTCGTTGTTAGCAAATGAACCATTTGTTATCATACCCCCAAATTACAATCGTTTAAATTTTAAGAAAAGATGTTCCTAAATGCACTTTTTTTTTTTTAAGGGCTAACTGTGCGTTTATATAACAACAATCCAGTATAATGTAGAAAATGAAGCACAAATTTGGGACAAAAGAATGTCAATTTAAAAATACCTGTAGATAAGAAAATTATTAGCCATGTGCAACAATTATAGATTTAAATAATGACCATGATATTTCACAGATGAAAACTCATATTTTGCCTCCAAAATGCCATAGTTCATTCCCTCAACTGCTATCAATAGGGTAGATGCTTTGATTTTTTTTTTCCATTTTCCCCCCCAAGTTATAGTGCTGTACTGCTTGTTTATGTTTAGAAGTGTGCATTATGTAAGTCATTTTTGTATGCTACTTCTGTGTTGTTTATTTTTTGGTTCTTTTAATAAAATGCATAAATTTCATGGTTCTGTCTTTTTTTATGAATCCATATTCACACATTAGGAGTTTACTTAAAAGCTATTCCTGTTCTAGTATATTAATCCTAATATTTAGTAATTCTAATATAAAATTTAAATTTATGATTTGGTCCCAAGTTCTATTTCATATATAGAAGAAATTTATTTCCAAATATACCTGCAGTATTATGAATTATATAGATAATACACTCATTGTATTAGATGTATTATTTCTCTGATATTGAAGTTACTAACACAAGAAAGGCACATTTGTATTTTAGTAAAAAAAAAAAACTAAACATTTTGAGATAATGCTTACTGGCTTCTATCATGCTTCAGAAATTCTGAGGCATTTCCTAAGATACGTTATTAGAAGTTCGTATTTTCCAGTTACTCGTTTCTATCTTGCATCTTCAGTGGAACATATGAAACCAGTGTTGTTCATTCTGTTGCTTTTTTTCAAGATGGGCATCAACAGTTTCATAACAATGAGATGCATGAATTTTTCCATCACGTTTTCTCTCACTTAAAATTGCTTTTCTCCAACAAATGGCACTGGAATAAAAAGATAATTTTTGTTCTTTAAGAAAGCAAAATGTAACTCGGTAATACTTTATTGTCAGATTTCTAAATACTTAAAAAGCCCTAGTTGGGAACTTCACATTGGCCACCGTTTGGTAGGCAGGCTGATAGAAAATGGAGGTGAAGAGGCTGTGACAGATTCGAGTATTCTTCACGCGTCTAGAACTGTGCCGAGGGCCAAGGAGGGGGTCCAGTGTCGGCTGAATCCTGCAGAGCTAAGCGCTCCCTTGTCACCCGTGCCTCACTTTACTCCTTCCGAGTGTGGTTCTCACTGTGGCATTTCTCGATAAGCCGACTTTGGGCCCTCGGGTGTGTTGTCCATGTTTCTGTGAGTCTGTGATAATCCCAGCATGAAGACCAGTTCAGTATATAGACATTTACAAAAGGTCTTGGCCTCTTCAAAATTCAGTTTATGTCTTCTTTGAAACTGCTGTGTGATAGGTAAGAATTTAGGGCAGGCATTCCCAACCCCCATCAAAATGGAGTTTCTGTTGAGCCAGAGGGAGGTTGACCCACAGGCAAAACTGGATGTACACTGTTTACCTTGGCACTTTTCAGCCTCTGTTCAGCAGCCTTCTAAGAGCCTCCTTTTGTCAGCCCCCACGATAGCCTCTGGTTCTCTAGAAGTTCCACGGTGGCAACTTATCAGGCCCGCTTACCCAGACAAATCTGGAATTTTTCTCCTTCAGAACTTCCCCGTTGGGCATCTCAGGCTATGGAGAGCAGCTCCTAGCTGAGATCTAAGAGACCAATCACACCACGGTGTTAGACTGGCAGTGTTTATGGGCTGCCCCCTGGGAGTGTTTGTATTTAAAAAGGCATGACTCAAGGGACCTGGAGGGCTCAGCCGGTGGAGCTACGCGACGCTCGATCTCGGGGTCCCGAGTTCAAGTCCCACGTGGGGCGTAGCGTTTACTTAAACAATAAATCGATAAAAGGTAAAAAGGCATGACTCTCCGGTGGCCAAATACCAGAAGGCCACATGCCTAGATGAGAGATACGTGTTGTTTTAGTGGAACAAACATCATTTAGGCAGTGATCACATTCCTAGGGACAAGTGGTGTGGTCATTCACCACCTCAAGAAGGCCCTCAAGGAAGGCTCTTGTAATTTTGTTATTGTCAGGAAAGTTCTGATATAATAATGAACCTAAACTACTGACTAGATGGTAAACATTCCAAAACTCCACAGGCCAGAATCCACTCACATGGTCAGTATCTGTGGTAAAGAGCATGACACAGGATAGGCCTGAGGCGTGATCACATTTCTTGAGGAGTCTAATGCCCACACGTGCTGATATTCAACAGACGGACACACATACTTAGATGTTTTTCTTTACTCTTTCTTGTACTGGCCGCGCTCGTTTAACTGAGCCCTCCCAGATTTTCTTTTCAGTGCCCAGACTTACGCTTGTCCCTTGAGCAGGAGGACAGTGGGTACGTGGGGAATAAAATAAGAGCCGAGAGGACAGCCACCCGGATGGAAGGGTGAGGTTTGTGAGAGGAACAGCAGGTCTGATTCCTGTCCTTACAAACAGATGCCTAAAGCAAAAGCACAGCATTACAAAGTGGAAGTCAGAATAAGAAGAAAGTTCTGGTCAGCGTAGCGGGCATTTTTGTGTTGTGCGTGGAAATGGCGTGCAGTGCAGTCAGGCAGAGCACCTGGGGCAAAGCGGAACAGATGCAAGAAAAATCGCATGTTTTCCCAATGAGAATGAGGGAGGTTCCCCCCCCCCATGAATGATTCAGTGCATTGCATGTTATGTTACAGGTGCAAAGAGGGGGATGGGTGAAAAATCACAGGGTAACAGTGTGCCCACAGCAACAAGCAATGGCGACCAACACTGGTTAAAGCAGACAGCCTGGTTGTTGCCAACAGGACCGGAGAGAGTGCCGAAGGAATCTGAGGAGTCTCTGCAGTCAGCATGCTTCTAGAGATGCTATGGCTACAGAAAGTGATGGTCAACTCACTGAGGGTCAATGTCGGTCTTGAGGGGAGGGTGGGGAAGAATAGGATCGGGATCAAGACTTTGCCTTTAGCCTTCGTCAACTGAAGAGTTGAACAATTCTTTCTTGGGGAAATTGGCAATTAAGAGAGAAACATGTCTGTGTTAATTATATATATATGTGTGTAGTGAGTGGTTATTGATGTGCCTTTGTTAACTATTTAATAAACATGTGTAGCTCATTCAACGTGTTTTGGTTCTTGTCAATTTCTATTTCCAGAGTCCCACGTTAAAGAAATCCGTTGATGGGTTGTTGTAGTAGGAAAAGCTAAACTCACATGAATCCAGGTATTCGTTGCTCACAATTTGGGGCCCCAGGCAGGGGCTGCTAATAAATGAGGCTTTTGTGCCTCACTGAATCTCAAGCGAGTGTTCACCATAAACTGAGCACCAGCCAACGGTAGAGACCACTGTAATAAGCAACTCTGTTCTCCTGAAAGACACTGTCAGAGATCTTGTAGATCCTGAAGATGCTTGGGACCTCCAGAGTCTTTGGGATGAGATTGTGGGGCCAGAGGGGCACTTGAACCATTCAGGAAAAATGGCTCAGGAGGGGCAGACAGGCAGTCACAACCACGACTTTTGTCCTCTACTCTCCACAGCCTGGAGAGATGCCCCTGTGGTAAAAATAGACATACGCAGGTCCAGATACTGTTACAGGGCTTAGGGAAAGGTCAATCCAAGAATAACCTTTGAGTGATAACAGACTAAGAAAACCTTTAAATAGTATTTTAAGATTATTATCTAGCCCACAGTTAGTGCTATGCCACCTAACCCTTCTCCCTCCACATTACTACCGGGGTCATTTTTCTACGATGGGAAAATTCATTATTTCTCTTCCCTGACTATAAATCTCCAGATCTCTTCATTGCCTTATGGGATAAATCCTACACTCAAACACAGCAATCTTCCGTTCTCAGGCCTTAGGCTTGCCCTCAAGCGTCCTCTCTCCCCCTGCCTTCTGTAACCTGTACAACTCCAGAGAAACCAATCCACTGTTGGGGAAATATAATTAAGAACAAGACCTTCCAACCCCAAAATCCTCTCCACAAAGGTAGTAGTGAGAGAAAACACTTTTGTTATTGAATGAACGTTAAACCAAAAGGGATGCACGCCATCGGCAGTCCACTAAGAAATTGCAAAGGCAGAAAGGAACCACCCCCTTGTATGGCCAAGTGGATGGAACCCATTACATACATGTTTACAAGATAAACAACTGGTCCTCAAGTAAGAAGATTTGACAGCACCTTTTGTCGTTCATAGTTCATCCTAACTTTATCCTGTAACTGGGGAGACCACCTGTGTTGACTTTATCCATAGGAGAAACAAACTTTTCATATCTTTACCTCCAAGAGATAGTTTTGCAAAGTGGAGCAAGGCGCCCAGGGAAGTCAGGATGTGACGCTCCTAAGGAACAGAGATCTGGCTCCATAGCCCTTTTTTTTTTTTTTTTTAAGATTTTATTTATTTATTTATTCGAGAGAGCGAGAATGAGAGAGAGAACACATGAGAGGGGAGAGGGTCAGAGGGAGAAGCAGACTCCCCACCGAGCAGGGAGCCCGATGTGGGACTCGATCCCGGGACTCTAGGATCATGACCTGAGCCAAAGGCAGTCGCCTAACCAACTGAGCCACCCAGGCGCCCAATGACTTATTTATTTTTAAGATTTTATTTATTTTAGGGGGAGAGGGGCAAAGGGAAAGGGGAAGAGAGAGAATCTTTTTTTTTTTTTAAAGATTTTATTTATTTGAGAGACAGAATGAGAGAGAGACAGCATGAGAGGGAGGAGGGTCAGAGGGAGAAGCAGACTCCCCGCCGAGCAGGTAGCCCGACGCGGGACTCGATCCCGGGACTCCAGGATCATGACCTGAGCCGAAGGCAGTCGCTTAACCGACTGAGCCACCCAGGCGCCCCTGGCTCCATAGCCCTTGATGTTTGCATTTCAAAGAGGGGGCTCTCAGGTCCCTGAGGAAAGGTGGAGGGACTGTGAGGCTAGGAAAGACTTGTTTAGCCATTACTAAGATTTACGTACACTTGACAAGGACAGAGGAAGAAATTTTGTCAGAAAAGGGAGGGGTGAGGGAGAAGTCTCTTCCCTTATTTCCGACAAGGAAAATTAAGCCTCTTCTTTTTAATTTGTATTTGCCCTCACACCACTCACGTTTCCCAGACACATACCACAGTTTCCCATACCTTTGTGCTAACTTTCTCTCCACTTGAAACACCTTCTGTCTTCTTCCTCCTCTTCTTCAAAAACTCATTATTCAAGGTATGGATCAACTCTCAAGTCTTCCTTGAGGTCTTCTCTGGCCTTACCAGATACCACTGAGATGCAGCTAATGTCTACTCAGTGCTTAGCAAGTAATCGCAAAGCTCAGTAGCCACCTTCCCTACTGTTCTGACATTGTCTATATGCCT